GAGAGTGTATTTTAGGTTTTGTGGAGCATACAGTTTCTTGCTGAGACTACTCAACTCTGCCATTGTCGCACAAAAGCAGCCATAGCCAACAGGTAAATGAATGTGCGTTTTCTAATAAAACTTTATGGATACAGCAATTTTAATTTCTCATAATGTTCACATGTCATGAAATATTATTCTTTTTTGGATTTTTACTCAACTACTTAAAAATGTAAAAAACATCCTTAGCTCATTAGCTGTATAAAATCTGCAGTGGGCCAAATTCGGCCTACGGGCCATAGTTTGCTAATCCCTAGGTTGAACAGTGGGCACCCTGAGGGAATACAAACATCAAGGCATAGCCTACCCATTTTATCCGGCAAAGGAAGTAGTACTTTCTGCTTATAGAAGCCTAGAAACTTTGGATATTGTCCTCTTGACACTGCCTGCCATATATATTTTCTTTACAGCCAGATTTCTTAATCTGTACTGAAACCTTGGCAGTGAATGGATTCATTTTCTAGAATTCGGATTTCTTAAAGATATGTTACAACCCAAAATAAACACTTAACAGATTGGGATCTTTGTATAGGATCCCATCAGCCTTGCTCACTGAGAAACAATCCAGGAAATCTGTGGAGGTAGACAGGATATAGCCTTAGGCAGCTAGTAAACCCAAACCAAACCCACTGCGATGGAGTCAATTCTGACTCACAGCAACCCTATAGGACAGAGTAGAACTGCCCCATAGGGTTTCCAAGGCTGTAAATCTTTACGGAAGCAGACTGCTGCATCTTTCTCCTGCAGAGCAGCTCGTGGGTTCAAACCAACCTTTTAGTTAGCAGCCGAGCACCTTAACCACTGTGCCACCAGGGCTCCTGAGGCAGCTAATAGTCATATGAAAAGCTGCTGGTCCAATGACTTGACCTTAGATAGGTCAGCCTGACTTACCTGGCTTCACCAGCTCTTGGTGGTAGGTGTGTCTGCACCCTTTCTACAAAGAACTTTCAGCACAGAACCTTTCCAAATCCTTTTTGGGCAGAATTCTCAAAGCAGCAGCACTCAACACTGGGTCGTTAACCAAGGTAAGAGAAAAACCTTGCACTGGAGCTGCAGAGGACGGCTGGACATTGCAAAGGGCAGTTCAGGGAACCAAGTTCTCTCTAGGCAGAGTCAGACAGTAGTCAGTCTTATAGGGGGCTACATGGAGAATGTGGGCTTTTAATGGAAATGGTGATTGTAAGTCTCACAGAAGAGAGAATGCTGATTATAAAGGTCTCCAATTTTATATGCTTAATTTAGTAAATTCATTCATTCATCCATTAATTCATCTCTCATTCATCACATACTTGTGTTAATATGTGCCAGATAATGAAGAAACTGAACAAGGCCTGGTCCCTGCAGTCACAATTTGTCTTTTGGTGGGATACATGCGAAGAAGTAACAGGTAATTACAGTGCAAACAGAGGAGTCCCACAATGGAAGAAGTCCAGTGTGTTGAGCGCAAGGCAACCTAAACCAGACTTTGGAACACACGAAGTTCTTAGTGGGGTGGAAGGTGGTTTTTAAAACTAGTTCTTTTAAACAGAAAACGTTTGCCTTGGAAGGTCAATGAGCAAAATGAAGAATGAAAAATTTTGGCCACTTCTAGAGAGACAAGAATTCCAGAGATACGGTTGGTGATAGCTTTACGAAGGCATGGAGCAAAAACTCAATTTTTACGAATGAACAATTCACAGAAAAGAAAATGCTTAACTTTTCTCATAGGAGGAATATATATCAAAACTATGCTGAAGTTCCTCAAGAAGTTAAATATAGAATATGATCTAGCAATTTCACTCCAAGGCATATACCCAAGAATTGAAAACAGGTGTTCAAACCAGAACTTGTTTATGAGTGTTCACTGCAGTATAATCTGCAATAGCCAAAAGGTGGAAACAACCTAATGTCCATCGACTGATGAATGGATAAACAAAATGTGGTATATCCATACAATGGAATTATCATTCAGCCATAAAAAGGAAGTTCTGATACATGCTATGTAACATGAATGAACCTTGAAAACATTACACAAAGTGAAATAAGCCAGACACAAAAGGCCATATAAAATATTGTATGATTCCATCTATATAAAATATCCAGAATAAACAATCCAGAGACAGAAAGATGATTAGGAGTTGCCACGGGCTATGGAAAGGGGGAAATTAGGGAAGGACTGCTAATGGGTACGGGTTTCTATTTGGGGTGATAAAGAAGTTCTGGAAATAGTAGTGGTAGGTACACAATATTGTGAATGTACTTAATGCCACTGAATTATACATTTAAAATGGTTAAATCGGTAAATTCTGTTATGTGTATTTTACAATTAAAAAAAAGCAAAAACTATGCTGAGACACCATTTTTCAACACAAGATTGGTAAAAACTCAACAAGTTTGATAGCTCACCAAGGAGGCAATGGTGCAGAGAAAAAGGTACTCATACAATGCCACTAGGGCAAACTGACAATACCTAAGCAAAAATGTAAACACACATACTCTGATGCAATTCAACTTCTCGAGATTATCCTAAATACGCTTGCCCAGTGTACAGTTATTCACTGCAACATAGTAATGGCAATTAGAAACGACCTTCATGTCCATTAGCAGGGAACTGGTTCAATTCCTGTTACTTGTTTACTTAAAAACCCTCCATGGAAAATCATTCTTTCCAAGGCCTACAAAGTCCTAGTATATAATCTGCATTCTACATCCCTCTCCCCTCCTATGCTGTCTCTTACCACCCTCTCCATTTATTCACTTTGCATTGGCCTCCTTGCCCTCCAACTACTGAAGACACTTTTAGGGCCTTTGTGCTTACTGTGTCCTCTACCTAGAACACCCTTTCCTTGAGAGTCTATAGCTCAGTCCTTCACTTGGTCAAATGTCATCATCAGCCGCCTTCCTAAACCCCCCTTTATAAGACAGCAAACCAGCTTTCTGTCCCTTTCCCCTACTTTATTACTCTCCTATCACTTATTACCCACCTGGTATTTGTTCATTTCTCTCTCCAGAACTTGAGCTCCATAAGGATAAAAATTTTGTTCATTTCTGTATCACAAGGCAAGCACAGTACCTGGAAAAGTGTAGCTCAAAGTTTACTGAATAAATTATGCAACATTCAACTAAATAGTATGCAATATTATTGAAAAATGAGGACACACCAAGATATTAAATAAGCAAGACGAAGCATATCATATGCTACCTTTTGTGTTAAATAAGGAGAAAATATCTATGTATATTTGCTTATATAGGGACTATCCTGCAGGCTACATAACTGGTAACAATGGTTGCCTCCTGGGAGAGCAGTGAGTGGCTGAGCCAGGGGTGGGGAGCCTTCTCACTGTGTACATCTTGAGTATATTATCAACTCAAAAAAATAAAATGAAAAATAGGCTAGGTCAAGGGCCTATGGAAAAAGCACTAGGTTTGAAAAGAGGCTCTGAGAGTTGAAGCCGATAAAACCAAAAAACACATTGCAGTTGCGTTCTGACTCATAGTGACCCTATAGGACAGACTAGAACTGCCCCATAGGGTTTCCAAAGAACAGCTGGTGGATTTGAACTGCTGACCTTTTGATTAGCAGCTGAGCTCTTAACCACTGCACCACCAGGGCTCCTTTTTTTAAAGGTGTCTTACCGATTAAAAGCAAGGGCTTTGAAACAACAGGTAGGACTCAAAACTTTAGCTTCACTTACCTCCTACTAGGTGAATGAACCTGGGTAAGTCACCAAATCTGAGTTCATTTCCTCTTCTGTGAGATGGAGGTTAACAAGTTACCTATTTTGTTGTGGGAATTAAATAATGTCCTGTGATATTTTTGGAGCCTTCGTGGCACAGTGGTTAAGAGTTCGGCTGCTAAATCTAAAGACCAGCAGTTTGAACCCACCAGTCGCTCCCTGGAAACCCTATGGGGCAGATTTTACTGTCCTATAGGATCACTTGAGTCAGAATCGACTCAACGGCAATGGGTTTGGGTTTTTTTTTTTTTTTACTAAAAAGTAAACTTACCGAAGTGTGAAAATCTCAAGTTTTTGATGATTTATCTGCTGTAGACATGGTCACTTTCCCCAAGCTTTGAAACTGCCTACTGGTGCTATATATTTTTTTCATTAAACCAGTTCTAGATATAACCTTAAATTTTCATTATCATACCATAGCTTGTTTCCAGCTGTCACTACCCTCCAAACACTTACTCCAAGATCAGTCCTGCCTACTAGCATTTCTCGTTACTTTGAACTTCTGTTCCATAGTATCTTTCCAGTTGTAATTATCCATACAGCTCAGTTATGGAGCCCTTCCTTCCAAAGGGCTCCAAGCTAATGGCTAGATCTGATGAAAACTCCTTTATTTTGGTAACTCTGCCAACTTGTCAGTTTTATAGCTCCCAATTCCTATTAGCTTAATGTACCCTGGAAAAACATCATGCCCCTTTAGACTTCAAGATAGGTTATACCCTACAAAAAGACAGGAATTACAATCCTAGTCCATAACTCACTTAATCTCGAATTGATGGAATTTCCGACTCCTCAGTAGATTTTATCTTTTGTCCTCAGAAGACACAGCCCAAAATGGTAGGGCCACAGCTCACTTGATACTTGGCCTTGTTACAGCCCAATGCAGAGCTGCCACTGTGAGGTTTAGGGTATTCATTACTTCTCTAACTAGGTTAGAGGACTAAAACAAGGTTCTGCCTAAAATATTCAAAAAGCATCCAACATGTTAAATTAGCTACCAATTAGTGCCAGGCTGAAAACCTATCAACTTTTCTAATTCTAAACCAGCACTTTCCAAGTCAATCACATAATCGATTTTACAGTCCTAACTGCTTATAGAAAAAAGGGTGTATTGGTTTCTATCATTTTAAAACGTATACTGAACACGAGGGTATTGCATTAGAAGTATGAAAGATACTGGCCTAGACAGCCAGTATGCCTTTTTCCCACTAAGGTTATATAGTTTTCTGTGCTTTTTTCTTAAAATCATTTTTTGCAGCTCCTCCACACCCTTTATAGCCTTTCATACTAATGTCTCCGGTGCTGACTAGATTGTCTATCCCAAAACTACAGGATTAATAATTCCTACTCTTGACTCAAAACTCCCACCTCCAAAAATTGAGTATTAGGATTGTTTTTTCAATCTCTGTAAGATTTATTGTTGAGTAAACTCATCTTTATATATACAGAACGATTAAAGCTAACCAAGTGCAACAAATAAGCCTGCCAATTATACACACAGCTTTATACCAACCATATATATATTTCAGCCAGTTAAATCAAAATTCTAAACACAAAACATCCAAATAATTTCCAACGCACTAGTGCAATCACTCAGATCAAATAAATTTGAAGCAGACCAGCATTCCCAAACTGCACTGCTATTCAATGATTTTGCTGAAAAGTGTAAGAAAATGGAAAGGGCAGATACCTGTACCACCAGCACTGATACCAGGTAAGAGGTGATCTTTTAAAAAAAAAAAAAAAGACTAGAGAATACTCGGTAAAAGCTTGACCAGGCAACTTTCGTAAGTAATTGTTACTACCCTACTAAATAAGATTATAAGTCTGAATAAAGAACCTACTGGCTATAACATTCTATCAGACGTTATCAAAAAACTTAGCTACATGAGATATTGCTAAATATAGATGAAATTTACAAAATTGCTTTAGTCTGACATTAACATTTGAAGTTGACATCTTTAAATCACTTTACACCAGCCTGGCAAAATAAGAGAAATTACATTGGTTGGTGGGAACTGAAAAACAGCTTGGAAATTAACAGATCTCTACTCAAGAGTAAGGCAATCCATTTGAAGGAATAGGAGTATCTGGGCTGGAAAATTTTGCAAAGCTGGTTTACATGAAAATGTTTTGTCCCAAATTCAGACAACTGCTCAAACATGCATTTTTGGAGAGCATAAAATTGGTTTGATAATGTTGAAAACAAAGAAAACGAAAGCACACTGAATTCCCCAACATGGGGCGTTCTAATCGACACCATCCCACCTAATAGCCTGAAGTCTTTAGTTACTATGCAATAGCCTTCAGAAGTCAGATTGTTTCTCCAGTATTAAGTCCAACTACTTATACCACATTTACTTCAATAAGCTCTCTGCCTAGTTCCTATCACACTCATTTACAGGCCAATCAGTGGTCCCTCTAGTTCGACAGATTGAGATTAGTGTGATATCTACTAACACTAACTTCAAACAGATTAACTCTTAACATAGGGACCTGTCATAATGCACTCATGCTATTACGGGGACCTCAAGATCAGATCATCTTCCCCAAGCTTCAAGAGTAATATGGAATTTTCAAAATCCCTTAAGACCCTGGCCAACAAACATGTATAGAACAGTTAACGATGTCTAAGACTTAACAAACACAAACTTTAGAGGAATATAGTTAATTATCAAGTTTGACTCCTAAAGTTTACCCAAATTGAAAAGTTAGTATTAAACACAAATCAAAATTCTAGTTAGAAACATTTTATTTAAATGTGCCAAAAAAAACCCCACATTTTCAGATCATAGGATGTTAATACATTCAACAAAAATGTACATTATCTTACTGCTGTGAAGTTACAGAGTAATAATCCAGATCCATTTTGGTTCAATGGTTGAAATACCCTCCTCCTAGGTTACACTTTACAGACATCACAAATCCCTTATAACAATGTAAACAAAATAACTTTTCCTTAAAAGCTGAACTTGAGAACTTCAGTCCATTCTTTCAGGACTTGCACTTCTGCGTGGACTTCCTGATGGCGAGCGACTACAAAGAAAAACATTAGGATTTGGAACCATTAGTGTCCGCTGAAACTTTTCTAATGTACATGATAATATTTAGTTTCAATTTAAAGATGGCCAAAAACTACTAAGTTCCTATAAAAGAGACCTAAATTACATGAAAGATTTATATGTTTTCTCCCTGCTTAAAGTTAAGCTTAACAATAGCCTCTTGGACAAAACCGCAAAATTTACGTACAACCATCTGAATACTTTTCGTTTGTCATTAGATGCACTACACAGTTAACGGTTTACTTTTCAGCTTGCAATATAAGATTTATCTTCCTCATGTGGGCACTTCCTTCTTTTTTTTTTTTTAACCTATTTTTCATAGTGGGAAAAAAAACATGCTTCTCACCATGAAAATTCTACAGCTTCATGACTAAATACATCTTAATGACTACTGTTAACACTGTAAGATTAAATACTTCCAAAAAAACTATAAACTAACATTGAAGCAAGAAACATAGCCATTTCAGAAACTTATCTAATATTTTTATCTATATAGCACCAATTCTCCAAAGAGCTCAAAGACTGCAAAGTAGGCAGTAAGCAAATAAATTCTGCAAAGGCCACATTTGACGGTAAAATTTGGCAACAGAACATTATTATTTAACTTACCTTCTTTTTGGAGATGGTGATCTGGACTTTGATCGGCTGTCAAAACATGAGAAATTCTATTAAGCCAAGGTACTAGCCAATCCCTTTCTTATAGTCAGAATACCATGAAATGAACCCCCAAGTTGTCCTAAGCTTAAATTAAATTGGGAGAAGAAAAAGCCTACCCAGTCTTTGCTAACAAAAACTAATCTTCCAACAAACCATTTTTCATGAACTGCTGTATTTTATCCGGATTAACCTTTTACTCTGCTTTAAGCACATTTATCTCAATCTGCTTCTCCATGCAATACAGACAGTCCTCAACTTACAACGAACCACACTTAACGCCTTTTTTTTCCTTTTGGTACATCTTACCATTGGTAATATGTACTACATACAACGTTGCAACGTATAATTTGCTGGTGTTATTATTTCAGGTGTTCAAAGATCAGATTTATAAAGATACTGATAATAACAATGAGAAAAAAGGTATTCGACTTACATCAGAACAGACTCATGCCTTACAATGAAGATATCAGAACGGAGCCCCATTTTAAGTCAGGGACCACCTCTGTAATCAGTTGTAACAAGGGCTTCCTAATACAACCCCCAACATTAAGCTGCAAACTTCTCACTATAGTTTCAAATTCCATCTTCCAGGAAGTCCACCAGTAGGCCATGTATACATGAAATTCTAAAATTTGGTTTATTGATAAGGTTCCGTGTATTCCCAACTTAACACCTAGGCTTAAAATTAATACTTGAAATGTGAACAAAACACTTTGAACTCTTTGGATATTGGTGCCATATAACTACAAGAATAATTAATCAGCTTTTTTGTCCTACCTGCTTCTTGGTCGTGAAAGAGACCTGGATCTTGATCTTGACCTTGACCGAGATCTTAATTAAAAAAAATACAAAATACAATTAAACCATTAGTCTATAGGAGTAATTCCCTTAAAACACCTACTGAGCACCTATTATAGGCTGGGAATAGAGATTAACACTCAATCAGATGCAACTCTTGATCTACATCAGTCTAAGATGGGAACAAATTATCACACTTTCAACAAAAATATCAAAGGAACCACCATTTCAATTATTTCTATTACACTCAATGAGCTGGGTAATTGTCACAGTTCCTGTACAGAACAGCAATACTGGGCGTCAAGTACTATGTAATATCCAAGGAAAATAAAATAGATGGCACAGATTACTTCAAACATTAAGAAGATTTTTGGTTTACATTTGAGAAGGCTGGTTATGACATGATTTGGTTTTAACTAGTTATCAAGTACAGCCAGAATGCTCCTTAAAAGCAAGGGTTGTCAGACTTAAGTCTCACATACTCTCAGACCTGTTATCAGGAGCGACCAGTCCCCGGAAAAGGACATTACGCTTGGTAGAGTCAGTGAAAAAAAAGAAGACCCTCAACAAGATGGACTGACACAGTGGCTGCAACAATAGGTTCAAACATAGCAATAATTTTGAGGATGACAGAGGACCGGGCAGGATCCTAAAAACAGGCACCTAACAACTAACCAAAACAAAACCAAATCCATTGCCATTAACTGCAACTCACAGCGACCCTACAGCAAACCTACAGGACAGAGTAGAACTGCCCCATAAGGTCTCCAAGGAGCAGCCGGAGGATTTGAACTGCCGACCTTTTGGATTAGCAACCACAGCTCTTAACTACTGCACCACAAGGACTCCTAACAACTAACAGAGACATCAAATCGACCTCTCTTAATCCAAAAACTAAAGACTCCTAAAAAGAGACTTCTTTTGGTAATAAAGTCCTGTAAAAGAAAGCCACCAGTGAGTAAAGCTTTACTCTTATATTCAGCAAATTTGAGTCCCTGGGAGGTGCAAATGGGTTAACCAGCTCAGCTGCTAACTGAAAAGTTGGAAAGTTCCTAAAGGCACCTCAGAAAAAAGGCCTGGGAAGCTACTTCTGAAAAAACCACCTATTGAAAACCCTACGAAGCACAGTTCTACTGATGCACACATGGGGTTTCCATGAGTTGGAGTCAACTGCACAGCAAATGGATCTGGTTCTGTTTTTCTTTTGGATCAACACGTCAGACAAACCAATCAGGCCCTAATATACACGTCACTTTTAAAGATCTTGAGGTCCTAACATTAAATTAAACCCATTTTATCTAAAGAGGATCCATAGCTTTTTCAAATGGAAAAGATTCAAAATCCCTGTATTTAAACATTTTGTGCCATACCCACCTCCCAGCACTGAGTCTTCATCTCTAGTGTTAATTCCTTATTCCCTAGAATTTCATGTATTTGTTGATACCTTTTAAGGTCCTCTCAGACAGAATAAGAAACTGGATTCTTTCCTTTTTAATTTCTTAAAATTTGTTTTAGCTACTATGTCATTTAATAAAGTCCACACTCATCCACATGTACAACACCACCCTAGACAACTTTCCCAGGTCTCAAACTGACCTTATGCAAAAAAAATGAGAAATTATGCTTCAACTTGCTTCTAAAATTCCTTCCTGGTTCTGATGGGCCTTTCAGAGCTCAGACTTTTCAGAGATAATGTTTATCTAAACGTATGAAATCTGATACCAGAAAAATTTATAGCAACATGTCTACCCCAAAGTGTTCACTGAAATAATCTATACTTTGGTACCTTCTCTACCACCCTGGCCTCTCTAACAAGCCTTAAAATTCTTTAGTTGTGCTTTTATCTGCAAAAGTAGGAGAATATCCATTTTATATTTCAAGTATTCAAATATTTTCTGGACCGCTCATTTGAAGTGTCCTTAAGACAGCCCTCCTGCTGTCATTAAGACGTGATAATCCAAACAAATGAGGAAAAAGAAGTGTTACATACTGGAAATACCTCGATCCTTTTACAGAGCCAGACCTAGATCTTCTGAGTGAAGCCGATCTCGATCGTCGAAGAGATACAGATCTTGATCTTCGAAGAGATGCTGATCTTGACCTAAGAATTCAAAGTTAAGTCCATCTCCAAGTAAAACTGTTTAACACTTTCTAAGACTTGTACTGTATTGAACAAAATCTGTCACCTGCGTCCTCTGCTCCTGCTCCGTGAGCGCGAGTATCGCCTTCCCCTGGATCTCGAATGTGATCTAGACCTTGACCTATTTTTCAAGTTAGAAAAAAACATGATGTTAGAAGGTAACTCATTTATAGAGTTTGCATGCCTTTGCTGAAATCAAATCTCAAAACTATTTAAATTTAGTGTCTCATTTGGAAAACAAACAAACAAAAAAAACCCTGGGCCTATTAGTTGTCCAAGTTTTTTTTTTTTTTAAACTACCTAAAAAAAGATTTGTTAAAAGCTGAATTACATCTTAGAATTACATAATACAAATCACTGTAATGTGTATTTAAAATAAACCTTGCAAGTTTGCAGGTCGACCCTCTTTGGCCCATGGTCTAGTAGATCTAGACGATCTAGAAGTATCTATAGCCGATCGCTGCATCTAGATGTTTTCTTCAATCTAACGACGATCAAACTGACAGCCAAATGAGCCAGGTGAGGCTTGATTGACGCAAGAAGATTTTTCTAGGTGGGAATGTGGTCAATCTGGTGTTCCTCTTTCTAAACCGGAGGGGGGCCCCAATTGTAAGCCAAATTTACTGTTACGGCGATGACCGTCTCAAATTTTCTGCCCTTTAAAGAATAAGGTGAAGCTAGGTGTAGATGACTCGAGGGGATCTGGCCTCTTATGCTGATCACCTCAAGGTCTAGGAGGATCTTAATTGTCGGATTTGCAAGGCGCCTCAGCATGATATCATAAGGCTCGTGACATTCTGAATCAAGGCGACTGACTCAAACGAAGAAACCTGAAAGGTTTTGACCAGGTTGATTATTAACATATTAACATTTGTTTAATTAAACAAAAATTGTAAAATACACCTGTACAATTAACATTCAAGTTTACAGAAAAATAATAATTTCTCCTTTGCTAATAGAAAAATTTACTTGATTATCTAAGATACCGACCACTCCTTTATTAAAATAAATACCTGCTTCTTCTGCGTCGGCTATAACGATGACAATCATAAGCATAATGTCCCTTTTCTCCACACTCATAACATCTATCATTGGGATCAAAGGGACGTCGGGCAGGTGGTCTATCAAAACGAGATCGTCGAGGCATGCCTGTTGATAGCTCAACTCTCACTCGAGAACCACAGATCACCCTGTAAAATTAATGGAATTCTAAAGTTAAAAATATACATGTGTACTCTAGATATAGCAGTAAAACTCTCTCCAACCACTCTTTACCCTCTTAATCTTCTGCCATCTTTACTAAGCTCCCAACTCCATCTTTTCTGCCTCTTTAAACCTTAAGGTCTTAAATCATAAAATTATGATTAGCTATTTACAGTATCCTCCAGACTACAGACTCTAAGCTTACCATGTAATTCACTACCTAGGCACACAGCAATATTTGAATGCACATTTTATAAGTGGTATCTTACTTACTTCCCATCCAGTCCTCGCACTGCATCTTCTGCATCTCTGGGATCTTCAAATTCCACAAAGGCAAATCCTGGAGGATTTCTTGCAATCCACACAGTTCTTAAGGGACCATAATAACTGAAAGCCCTTTCTAACTCTCCTTTGCCAGCACCAGTTCCCAGATTACCAACATATACCTTGGTCTCTGTTTAAAAATGTAAAAAGAATAATGCATGTTATGCAAAATCCTGCCTAAGTTTGAATGAATTCTTTATTATAAAAAGGGCCATCCTTAAGCCTGGGAAAAGCATGTTTAATGCTCTTTGAAAGACTGAATTTAGTCTTAAAACCAGGAAAGTCCGTAAATTCCTGAAAAGCTGGGCTTATGACAAAGTTCTTAAGGCTCTATTGTTTGCCGTCGAGTGGATTCCCACTCAGTGACCCCGTGTGACAGAGTAAAACTGCCTCACAGAGTTTTCTATGGCTGTAATCTTTACAGGAACAGACTGCCAGGTCTATCTCCCACGGAAGCGCAGGGTAGGGTCGAACCGCCAACCTTTCCATTAGCAGCCGAGCGTTTAACCGTTACGCCACCAGCGCTCCTCCTGAAAGACTCTAAGGGAAAAACCTTCCAAAACACAAGCAGAGATGCGTGGTAGGATACTCCGAGGCGTGGGGAAGCCCCGCCCC